ATTATTAAAATAAAACATAAAAAATACATATCATGAACTACTAATTTAAATTATATGGTAAATGTGAAAACCAATGCATTACTCAGTTTCAGAAATAGGCCTCTATTTGATATTTTGATTCATATATTGTGTTCAACGATATCAGGCAAATAGATAAGCATCGACTAAATGACATAGAAATTGTGGGCAAATCTGGTGATAAATTATATAAAATTGTTGCCGAAAATGTGTTTGAAATAAAGTACACATCATTTGATGATTATTTTTCAAATGAATTGCAAATCACTTTAAATACCGTTTCAACACATATTCAACAAAATAATGATATTTGTGGTAAATATTACAATAATGTCTTAATTGTGCTTTAATCAGGTGAACTGTTACATTGAATTAATAATAATAATTATTATTATGTTTTATTATAGAAACTATCGATAAGCTGAATAATTCAATATCATTTGAAAAGTCATTTGATGTAATAAGAGAGATTGGTGAGGGTGGCTACGGACTGGTATATGAAGTTCAAAATAAATGTAACAAACAATTGTATGCAATAAAGAAATGCAAATTAATTGGTAAATATTTTTTATATTAGATGCAAATTTATAATCATTATTATTATATATTTTGTATTTTTCTAAAGGATTGACAGAAAAACAGAAACAAAATGTTTTGAATGAAACTAAAAGTCTTGTGAAACTTCGGTCAAAGTTTGTGATTCAATACTACTATTCATGGATTGAATGCAATTGTCTTTACTTTCAAATGGAGTTATGTATCGATAATCTCAACAATATTTTGGAAACTAAGAAATCGTTGTTCAATAAATTGATGNACATCAAATGACTTTTCAAATGGAGTTATGTATCGATAATCTCAACAATATTTTGGAAACTAAGAAATCGTTGTTCAATAAATTGATGACTAATTTTGAGTTTCATATATCGTTTCATATGTTTCATAGACTCATAAAATGTGTGCAATATTTGCACAAAAATAATATCATTCATAGAGACCTCAAACCGGATAATGTGTTGATTTCATGGAAAGGGAGGATAAAGTTATGTGACTTTGGTTTGGCTAAAGAGATCGCAAATTGTGATCCATTTAATGTATCCAAAGCAGAACATACGGCAGATGTCGGGGATCTGTCATATCAGGCACCGGAAGTTAATTCATATCCAATTGATTACGATCATAAGATAGATATCTACAGTCTCTCCCTAATTGGGGCACAAATATTTGGTTTCGATACATACGATATAATCGACGGAAAGTATGTTTTAAATACCTATTTAATTAAATGAATTATAATTTAATGCAAATAATAATTTTTTTGGTAAGGATTAATGATAATATAAAATATAATAAAGATATGAAAGAATGGATGCATAAAATGAATGCAATATTGGTGTCAATGAGTGTTAATAAGTATCGCAAAAACGGTTCAAAAGATTGGAAGAAAAGACCCGAATGTTCGCACATTTTATCACAATTGCAGACATTTATGACAAATAAACCCATTATTGGAGGCAAAGAATTCAGATTATATTTTGATACTATGATTGACTCGAAATATGATTCTTTTTGCAAAATATTTATTCAAAGCAAACCGTTTTGTATAATCAATATAACTAATGGTTAGATATTTATATTTTAATTGTATTCAAAAGTACAAACCTGAATATTTTTGTATATTTCTAGATGCAACCGACATTAACGTAATAAACGTATCTATGTTTGATATAAATTTTGATTGTCCACAGTATAGTGGTGTGAGTTATGAAATATATTCAGCTAAACACAAAATTTCTCAACAAAAGTGTTTGATATACAAAAAGGAACTAGGATTAAACTGTAAGACATATTTTACTATACTTTATATACGCTAGATATAAATGTATAGTACTTTTCAACTCTGCTTTAATACCATATTAAGTACTATTGACAATATTATCGCCAAACTAAAGCAGAGTTGAAATAATTTTCACCATTTACATTTATATAGGTTCATATGTTTGGCACAACTTTTAACAAAAATATTTTTCATATTTATTATATTATTGCAGATGTTAAAGATATGTCGAGAATGAGTGCATTTTTCGCTAATTTGCGAAGGTCCCTTGATGCATTGTCTAAATATGCGGTGAACAACCGGTACAACTCATGGTTGGAAAATAATGAGATATTCATTCAAATGAAAATTGAAAATTCATACGAATATTTGAAATCGATTTCCCATCATCTGGATTGTCTGGCTAAGTAGTAAAATTCATGGGTGCGGGTCTATTGACCTAAAAACCAATTGACCTAAACTTAAATAACTTAATGACCAGTAGGTAAATATTCCTGATGACCAGTGTAAAATGTTCCCCTTGCCCTAACCTAACCTTACCTATCCTTACAATGGTCGAAAGTCTATTGGTCATTAAGTTATTTAAGTTTAGGTCAATTTGCCAGTTCCCAAAATTCATACATAATGGTTATTGGACACATAATGAATATTACTACCAAACATACTGGCTCATAATTACAATTAAAGTTTATAATAAATTTTGTAAGCTTATTTTTAAATATAAAATTGCTCATGAAACACATAATCTATATAATTATATTCATTTAAAAATAATTGGCATAAATTTTTAAAAATAATAAATCATAATAATTTAATTAGTTTTATTATTTTAAAATGTCTTAATTAAATGATTAAATAATTAATGGCTAGAAATATTCATGTCACCTGTTTCAATATTATTTTAATGAGTTTTATAATAGTATATATTATTATCGTTAAATAATTGTAAAATAAAATTATAATTTTGTTTGCATTTTGTAATATTAAAAATAATTAAACTTTTAATTCATAGCATATTTGTTTATTATATCAATAAAATTGCAAAACATCTTAAAGTTTGTGTCAATTCATACACCCATACGACGAATGTCTACCAAATGTCACTACAAACAGATCCAGTGTTAAACTACTCCGCCAACATTTATAAAACTACCAAGATATTAATAGTTTTATTATTAATACCATTAGTTGATTCAAAAAGTAATGAAATTCTTGTGAAAATGTAAACAAAATAATAATCAATTGAATACTTATGAGAAAAACAATTTATTAATTGATAAAAGACTAGTGAAAACATACAGAATATAAACATATTAGGGTTTTGCAAAAGTTTTGCGAGGTAAAGTATAGTCAGTAAAAGTTTATTTATTTGTGAACCAGGTAATTTAAATAAAAAAATTTAATATGAGAAACATGGTTTTAAAGCCTCAATAAGCTGCCAAATTGATTATTAAAAACTAGTTTATTTATTGACTGAAAGCGCAGAGAATTAAAAGAATTTGATTAAAATAAGAAATATACGAAATATACACAGAATATAATAATTAATTTATTA